ATTATCGGCAGATACTTTCCGCATAATCCAACAGCTTTAGTATCAGAAAAATCAAATTACATATGGTAAATGGGAACAATTTAAATTTGAAGACAAAGGATTACTACAACTGACAATTGCTTCTCCATAGCATTGGAAGGGCCATCAGAGCTCCCACCTACAGAGTCGAACTCAGGTGATTCGACTGCATCAACCCCCGAACCTGTGCTTTCGGAGGCAGCTCTCTCTAAATGCTTATTTCCGTTTTTATTCCCCGAGATTTTAGCAGTCGAAAATTGGCTGGTCGGTCAGGTTGTCTTACGGTATTTAGGTGAATTTGAATTGAAAATCAAGGAGTTCAACCGAAAAGTAGCTAAGATTTCAACTACGTGAAGATCGAGATTCATTGATAGCCATTTGCAGTGTCGGGTTTGGAACACATGATGCCGATTAGCCGATGCGTATCAATGGGACCACCTGTTTGATACCGAATACCTCCCACGACGTTCGAGCGATTAGCAAGTTTTTTATACGTCTGCGTGTAAAGCACTCTAACTAGCCATAGCTAATGATAACGAGATGCAGGTGTACGATGGAAACCTACAGACACCCACACATACACCCGCACCCACGAGTCGCGCTCTCGAACTCCCAAGCCGGATCTCCGGATGCTGGATTCGGTCCCTTGGCGGCGTTGTCGGCTGTGGCGTCGGCGGGTCCACCGGCCATCGCCAGAACTCGCTAGCGTGGAATCGCCGAGTGCCAGCCGAATTGTAATATGCGTTCTATGGGATGAGAGAAATGCTACGTTACGGAGAGTTGATACGAGAAGAAACTTGCATTTCCACGGACGGGTCCCATATGACGCGAGGATGATTTATGATGTATGTCCGCAGGTGACCGCATTGCCATCTTTGACTGAGAAAATCGTTTTTTGACTCTGCACACTCTTCCCAGAGATCACCTCTATGGACATACCGAAAAACCCCTTGTCGCGACCGCCTACCTCCCCGGACCCCCCAAGAAAGTGAAGCTTCACCGATACGCATAAATAGGCTAACATAGCTTCAGTCCTGTTACTTTTTTATCGTTATCGTTTGTGGTCTGGATGTGTGGAGGCTTCAGATGGTACTTTAGATGAACTTTATAACGGTAGACGTACTTTATGATTAACTGGTTCGTCACAGTAGGAAATTTGTTACTAGTTTTTATCTTTTTACTTCACTGTAACTTTTTTCGTCTGGTTAATGGACACCGTAACCTTGTATTTCGTTTTTTTATCCAATTTGGGCCCAGCACTGTACAGTACTTACCATTTAACCATCTTCCCCTGTCGTATGGTCCGCACTTACCCTGTCATATGGTCCGACGGTTCAGGATTATTTTGAGTCAATTTCTGCTTGACACCGTTTGACAATAGTATCTGACTAGCTGGCTTACTCCAGAATTTTAGCGCTTGAAAGCGCTAGCTATTACTAAAGTCGTACTGGAAGGTAAANGAAGTCGCCAACATCAAAAATCCCCATGCCATCATAGTGAGAACACTTTCTCATCGTGGGGAAACCAGTTTCGTGAAGCCGTCATGATAGCTGATAGCGGCGCCGGCGATCTCTTCTCGTTCGCTGCTGTCGGGCTCCTTTTACTGTTGCACCGTCGACCTTGTCCTCGCCCTCTGTTCTGCTACAACTCCACCCATCAGGTTCATCCTTATTTCCGTACGATCCATAAGCAGAGAGGTCGTCCATTAGCCGTTACCAGACCATAGATCGACCGAATACTCTAGTGGGTATTCGCTCAAACGTCTCGAGGCCGTCTGGTTTCCATGCGTTCGCGCGCGTGTTTTGGTATGTAGATGCGCGTCTTGCGACTTACGTACGATATCGATCCACAAGGGTGACGTAGGGCGACATGTCAATGTATCTATGAGATCTTTTTCACTTGGATCGCCCTCAATAAATCGCCAGGGATCGATCCATGTACGTCGCTGTAGCGCCATCGCCGAACACCTCACCCAGATCACTTTGGCACGCGTCGACCCGACGGCTATGATCGGCGGCGCCATTCGGTGACGGCTAACTTCGGTCCGCGACCACGTCCACATGATGGCATGCCATCAACTCATTTCGCGTCATAGTTCTGTAATGCGATTTTGATGGATTGCTTCCCATGGGCGATCAAATTCCCCTTGCCGAAATTCAACATGCCCGTCGCGAACCGGCCGCCTCACGACCGGATATTTATTAGCGATGCTGCGCAAATTTTAATTTCGCGGTGACAACTTTTCGCAACCCATGGATTCCATCGTACGTCGCTAATATTCTCGAATTCTGCCATGTATTGTCGCTGTTTCGCCCTTCACAGTCCTTATCGCCCTCCTCTCGAGTTTATGCTTGCGCTATGGGCAGCTTGCTGCACTCGGATGCCCTCGGCTAATCGATATTCGGGATCTGGCAGCATTAAGCGGGCTACTTACCGTTCCCCAACGGTCTTAACGATTAGTTTCTGTAACTTGGATATTGTCACGTGGAACCAAGCCTATCTAGCGTCGACTCATAGCAGCTCTTCGTTTCGGCGGGTCACCGAATTGAACGAGTTTCTCCTGTGGGAGATTTTTTTGCGTTCGAATTTTCTTATCGATTCCTCGTCGGTGGATCACCGCTGTTGAAACCGCCTCTATTTATAATTATCGTTTTTTTTCTGTTATTTTTCCCCTTCCTTGTCCTTTTCGTCTAATATCGTATTTGCCGATTCCTACAGCTTGCTTGATGTTTCGATGATCATGTTTCGGTGGATTTTTTCGTCAATTTCTATCATTGACTGTCCATTGATCACAATTATGGGCCTAGGACGAAGTTCGAACCAATTTTTATGCCCTTTATACTTATAGATCGTTATGGTTGAAAACTTGGCCGAGCCTCAGTGTGTACTGATTACGGGAGGTTGTGGATTTATTGGATCGAATTTTATTAATTTTATTGCTGATCGTTGGAAATCCTCAAGGTGAGCATGGGACGTGATCGTAGTGGTGGTCAGTGGCAGGGTTGCCTGCCGTTGATCAATGGCACAGGCAACTCTCTGTCTCATTTCCTTGGCTTTTTGCATTTATAATTATGAATTTTCTCTCTTTCTATATGATTGTAATAAACACATCAGTCGATTTGTATTTTTGTAATTAGCATTCGTTTTTAGAATAGTCAATTATGATAAATTAGCGTTTGGAGCATCACCTAATCATGTGGAGAAACATATTCGAGAGTCAAGCAGGTTGGAACGTTTTTTTACAAGTTTTTTACCAGTTTTTTTTTGTTTTTGTTTGGTACATTACTTTTTTGTAGTATTTTCGTTGAGTTAATACTTTTTGAAATACCTATTATCAACTATTATTATCTAATATCTTGGACTTTTCGAATTAAAGCTTGATTCCCTTTGAATTTATCTTCTGCCATGGTTTGTATATGGAATCGCTTTGAAACATAACTTACTGGTAACCCTTTTTCTGATTTTTGAAGCTTCAAATCTGGCTTCCATCATTTTTGTCCGGTCCGGATTCCTTCAAACATGAGAATTCTTTTCAAAATTTCAAATCCAATTTTTTTATTTTTTTCAAATCAGAAGTTTGGGGTTGTCGCCTTGTTTCGTTTTTCCATCAATAGAAATATCTTTTTTTCGGATCTTTGGTGTTTTCAATTTTTTTTTTCTTTCATCATCGGTCGGCAATCATCATTAATCGATAGAGATGCGATTCGGGATCTTCCCCCCGACCATGCTTAAACAATGCATTCCTCTATCCCGTGGTATCGATGAGAGATGATTCTACAAAGGGGATTTTCCATTTATTCAGATATGCTTTCATCGAAGCTCGACTAGAAGATCAGGACACGCTTGACAGATGTCTACACGAGCATCAGGTGATTTTAAAAGTTTTTTTACTTGTTTTTTGAACTTTTTTCTGACTTTTTTTTTGACTTAAATCATCTTTGGCACAAAGCTTTTCTTTGATTTTCTCCTGTAATTTTCAAATGAAATTGACAGCTTAGTGAAGCCGGTTCTGAGTGTGTCTTCTTTTTCCTTTATGGTGACCGTATCCTATCAGTCCAGACCGATTTACATGGTTTCTGGTTCCTGGCTCCTTTTTTGTGTTTGGAATCCTAGGTTAATGTAAGCAAAAAATGGTCTGGCATCAATTAAGCTTTTTGAGATGCGCCATGCTTGGAACACCAATTTATATTCGTTGAGACAAATAGTTTTACTGATTTTCCTGTTCTGCTCGTTTTTGTTTTCCATTTTTTTCCAATTTCTCCCATCAGCGGTATGAATTTCCCAAGTGGAACTCTAAAACTTTGCCAATCTCCCTAATCCCTTCAAGACTGCTTGTACTTTGTTTTGCTGAGACAATTGTGGAAGGGCATAGTTGGAGTGAGCTTTATAATAGAGGCGAAGATAAATTTAGAAGGAGCTTTTGATAGCTGGAAGGTCTCAATGGATTCCTCTGAATCCTCACCCCAGCTTGATGCCATGTCTCGATTCCCTTTCACTGTAGTATGAAGTCCGAATGAGGGAGAGATAATGTTTAGAAGACACTTTGGTACTCAATATTTTGTTGTTCGAAGGTGATCGGCTGTGCATGGCGCAATCAGCACCCATATGCAGTGGAATACTTTCGAACACCTCCCCTACGAGCGGTGGCTGATTGAGCCATGCTCAATGTGATTACATTCAAAAAAAAAAANAACACTATTATTATGATCCCATATCGGCTACAACGACGGCATTACGAATTGTCTTCAATTCTTTCGGAGAAACGCCTCGTTCGTGAAGTGGTTGATTTCTCGAAAGCGATTACATGTATTTAGCCATTACAAGGCTTAAACCAATTAAGTGATGGTGAGCTGGAAATGCCTGTGTTATAACTTCATTCCCTGAAACAAACTTTTTCCCTTGAGTCCCTGAAAACTTCGTTAAATAAAAAAACAGCCAGATGAGCTTAACGAATTTTTTTCCACGTCTATTCTATCCATCAATACCTTTCTAGGTAGTTACTTACTTGTATATCATTACAAAATTGATTGCAGGTGGACATGGTGATACATTTTGCTGCAATTACTCACGTTGATGAATCATATACGGATCGTGTAGGAACAATACAGGATAATGTCATCTCAACCACTACATTACTCGAAAGTATCATGAACAGAAACTATAATGGAGTAAAACGGCTTGTACATATCAGTACTGGTAAGTGATTTTCCATGAAGTTCATCGAACGAAGTGTGTAAAATCACAGTTCTCGGCTACCCCTTGCGGTACTTTTTTTTGCACAGTTTTTCCTTCCATTTTCATGATATGTGTACAGTCTTTGTTACGGCATCAATACCTGGGCTTGACGGGGTCACCCAGAGCATGATCCTCATCTTACAAAAACAGATCTATAAAATTTTGATACTGTTTGGAGAAATGAAGGCGTTAGAGTGCGATACTACACGGACATTATTTCCTACCCATTAAAAGGAACCGTAATATAGGTACATATTTCTTTGAGCACAGAGAGAGGCGTACGGTGTAAACTCTCTCTGTTTTCTAACGTCCATGTTAAACAAGTAAGAGTGATTTTGCTAAGAATATCCTATGCGACCAGCCAATCAGAGAGGCGCTACTTTTCCCCAGCGCGATTTTTACTGGCTGGCGGCACTGGAAGCATGAACCAGGTTTGCCGATATTTATAGATTCCAAGGATGTACGAATACTCATTTCAGACGAGGTCTATGGTGACTCATTCGATGATGCCACGCCAAAAACGGAAAATTCATTGCCAAATCCTACAAATCCCTATGCAGCCAGTAAAGCAGCTTGTGAAATGATTATACGCTCTTACTGGGTAGGTTTTGCCCTTTTTTCCATGATCTCTTTGCTCGTTGGACTAATTACCCTATTGGGATNTTTCCACCTTCCTATCAAGAAGTTTCGTTCGAAAAATTGATTTTCAGCATTCATACAAATTACCATATGTGATGGTTCGTATGAATAACGTCTATGGACCACGTCAAGCTGGTACAAAGCTGATTCCGAAATTTACGAAGCTAGCGTTGGAGGGAAAGCCGTATCCTCTGATGGGAGATGGCCTACACACGAGGTTCTTACAGTACTTTTTTGTCTCAATTCAGTTCAATTTTTGTCTCAATTCATGCTTAACTTACTTTCTGTTTACTTTTTGATGCGGACAGCTCTACACTCGCTGAAAGTTCAATCTCTACACAATTTCGATCCCCGCAGTGCCCCAAGTTGCTTCTTATTGGATGACTACCGAGCTGCGCGGAGTTTTTACGATATTCCAAAAAATAAGGGTGGCACCAGCTTACTTGCAGTTCGCCCACACCCTCTAGTTGCTCGGGTGATATTGCCACCACGATTTGTCCAGCTACGACGTGATACCATGAGAAGCAGTACCTCGGATTGCGGTTCCCGCTTCGGAGCCGTATACCTGTTCTGTAGAATAACAGTAAAATCTACCCGGTAATGGCCCTGCCAATATTTTCAACTCAAATTTCGATTTTTCCTCTACTATAGTACCATTTCTTTTATCAACCAGATCCATCAATACTATGGGGCACTGCGGGCTCGGATTTCATTTACCATCACAGTTGTTTTGGTCTCTTACCAGCTGAAAAAAAGTTTGCTTTTTATCAATTTAATATGTACTTTAACTGAATAGAGCATTCGTGTATCAGCACAACAAGTGGTGAACCTTTCAGGAGCTGGATGTACGTGGAAGACTGCTCCGAGGCGATCAGAAGGGTGGCCGAAGATGGTCAACTTGGAGAGGTGTACAATATCGGGACGGATTTCGAGATTACCAATATCGAGCTGACAAGAAAAATACACGACATTGTCAACAAACTACAAAAACGGTTTGATTGTTGGATCAATTTTTTTACAACCAGTTATCAAAAAAATGTATTGAGTACCGCACAACTTGAAGCCACCGTTCAGAAATCTCAGAAATGATCATTTTTGCTCAATTATAATAGCTTTTATGAAGTTTCTGATTCGTCCAAAAGAAGCGATCCATGAGCAACTATAAAAGGCGAGCATCGATCGGGCGAATTTTTGATTTTAATTGGGTATTCTTTGATGAAAGTGGGAAGACAACTGCGTACCGATTTTGTCCTTCAGTTTCGAGAAATGAGTTACCGTGGAGTGAATGGTAACGTACGTTTCTTCACTGTTATAGTGGGCGTGGCTTTTGATATGGGCGGAATATATGGAGTAGGCGGGACTTTTGAGCTTAACTGGTGCCTGTGGTTAACCGAAACCCGGTTTGAGCTTTTTCTAAGATTTATCTTTCCTCACTAATTATAAAGTAATTTTAATAAAAGGTGAATTTTTCGAGTGTGAACGGTGTGTCGTTGGACAAAAAACTGTTCTGCCCTTAAAATACTTCATCATATTGTTCGTCAACCTGTTTTGGATAAGTTCTGGGCGGTCGTTAACAACATTGGCTGCTCATGATTCCTTTTCAGAAAAGAGTCGCCCCCTTCCTTCGTGCCCATACCAGATCGGCCGTATCACGATCGTCGGTACTATATCGATTTTTCGAAGATCAAGAAGGCAATGGGATGGCAGTGTACAACCCCGTTCGAAGAAGGCTTGATGAAGACGATCGATTATTACGTAAAAAATCAGAAGCACGAAAAAGTGACGTCACGTCTCCACGGATAAGACGTACAGGCCCTGATACGAAATTCAGACACGACATTTTTCGCGATATTTTACGTGATTCGAGAATTCCTTCAAATTTATAGCTAGAGTATCTGAATTTCGTATTTCAGGGATTCAAAGTGTCATAAATTAGGTTAAATTTCTTCATAGATTTATATGTGTGTCGTGTGTTGTTTCTCGTCCATTTTTCGCGCCGCGACCTTAAGTATCGTCGTAGGCGTCTATTGCGACGTCGCGGCGATGCCGTATACCACATTGTAATTTATTTCATGATTTATTGGAATAGTCTTGACTTGATTTCTTTTTTTTTATCTTTTCATGGCTTTTTGTTTATCTGTATATTTGCACATTTTTCAAAGGTCCAAGGGTACAGGTTTGGCGGCTAATCTACCCGACCAAATTTTACCTTGAATTGACGGTGCATTGCGTCTTGGCCCATTTTCTTCTTCCATTCATTTTTATTCATGCTTTCATTGATCTTATCGGTGTTTGTGAACGTCTTTCTGATTTTTCATGTGTTTTCATGTTTGTAGGTGCTGTCACCGGGCTGTGGGAAAGTCCAGCGATTTCCATATGACTTAGAAATCATCTAGAGTAGTGTTCATTTAGAAAAAAAAATGTCCCACCTCATGAGATTCGGTTGTCTTTCTGCATTGTCCCATCCCTTTCAACCATCCTTCAACATTGTATTGACTTTGATGTGTTTTTTCCCTTCCCCCGTTTACTTTTCGATACACTGTTGAGCGTCAGTCAACATGGTAAATAATGTCTAATTACAAAATGTTAAATGTATTTATTTATGAAAGACGAAATATGATGAGCGATGAAAAGGGCATCTGAACCATAATGTCTATATTAATATCAACAACGAAACTGTACACGCATTTGTCGGGTAACTTGAAACGGTGAACCGTGACCGGGAATGATCCATGCCGCTTCACAGATCAGGTTCCGTCTTGATCGCGCCTGTTCCGTCTCGTTTGCACTCAATGGCTTCCACATCATCGGATAATCGAGGTCTTCACGTCTCATGAATGTGTCACCTGGACAGAGACAGGTTTTTTTTTTCTTGAAATTAGCTGTTAATTTGTATTAGAAACCGGTGGAGTGGCGAATTTCGTCCATTCAGCACTACTGTATGGTGCTGATACAAGGGTGGAAATCACTTTGACTCCCGTTACTTACGAGTACGAGTACGATACTTCAAAGAGGTGCATTGATGAGATCGGCGATCTTAACTTCATAAGCTCGCTTCCGCGAAGGGCGGGTGGATGGCAGTCAAGAAAGTCGCAAGAGGGATTCGAGCCAAGAGCCCGGTAACGGAACCTAGGCTGCCACTCACCAAGGGAGTGTCCTGCACGAGCGCTAGTGACAAAAGGTCTGAGTTGCACCCCCGAGCGTCATGCCCGTATTCCCACCTGGCCTTTACCTCTATGATGCAAGACTAAATACTGTGGCACTACTGATGAAAGGATTAATCCAGTTCTGGAAGGGATTCACCATTCGAGAAACTACCCATATTGAGCCCAGCAAATGCTAGACGAATCCAATCCAGGATGGCCTTTTCTGAAAGAAATTACGTTACCTGCAACTATTACTGTTCCCATTGTCTTTTCATCATTGACGACAACAGCAACATCATCGGATGAATGTCCAGCTGATCTCATAAGATGAACGTTCTCCGTAAGAGGGTGTCGATCTCCCTGAAAGCAGTTTGATTCTGGACCTAGTCTCCGGTAAATTTAGTGGAATACAGTGAAAAAATTGTCGGAGAGATTCTGACCACTCAATGCTCTGTTGGTAAACATCACGCTGGCCCGACTCTTATGAGTTCGACTCCCAAAGGCTGAGATCATTTTGCAAATGTAAAGGAGCGTTTAATAGAGCAAGCCGACGTTCCAGCCACTAAGGGATGTGCTGGGCATCGGCAGGGCGNGATGAACGTTCTCCGTAAGAGGGTGTCGATCTCCCTGAAAGCAGTTTGCTTCTGGACCTAGTCTCCGGTAAATTTAGTGGAATACAGCTGGCCCGACTCTTATGAGTTCGACTCCCAAAGGCTGAGATCATTTTACAAACGTAAAGGTGCGTTTGATAGAGCAAGCCGACTTTCCAGCCACTAAGAGATGCGCTGGGCACCGGCAGGGCGTACCTGACTGGTCGACCTCTAGAAGTCCCTCTCTCTCCTGGAGGCTCTTCCATTTCTTGACTAGAAGTCTCTCTTTACTGTCTTTATGGACCATACTCACCTCGAATAGGCTGCTGAGATTGAAAGTAGTGTGATGATGAATGTACCATCCTTGATAATGTACTGCATCCGGGAAGTCATGCACTCCGCCAGCGTGATCGGGATGTCCATGAGTTGTCACGACAACATCCACGTTAGGCGGTACCAGGTCATGTTTCTCGAGAGCTGGAAATGTAGCTTGAATTACTCGACTTCGAATTCCAAATAGACCAGTGCTCCTAGAGCAACTTTATTCTGCGTATTTTAGTTGGTATAAAATTCCTAGGCGATCCCGAAAACAACGACTTTTCCTTCTATTCCCATTCCTCAGAAGTTCTCGTTTTGAGGTTTCCAATACTGTTTTACGCCAATCTTTGCCCAATTTGTTTCATAATTACTAATTAGTGGCATGTAGAACAAGTAGAAGTAGAATGAGTCACACCATGCATGCACACAATACCTATAAATCCACATGCACCATGCCCCCAACTATTTTAGGCCACGCCTCCAGATATTTTCTTCAAATGCGATCATCTGATACTTGTGCCTTTCTCATGAAAATTTGAAGAACAGACCATTCATAAGTTGCATCCTGCCGTTGATATCGGTTCCAAGCCCTGTGTCCACCAAAATATTTTTTCCGCCGTCTTGAATCAACGTAATTGTCGCAACGAAGTTGTAGCGACCATCGTTTGTTTGATTCGCTGAACCCTACAACGTTCATGGCGTCATCGTTCCGAATCGAGTATTAATGCAGTATTGTGTATTGGGAGCACTTCGAATAATTAATAGTAACTAGTAGATCCGCCATGCTTAGAGACTACTTTAAGAATTCGATTCGGCATGCAATCGACGAACTTTTCGAAGGTCAGCAAAAGCCCATGAACCGACTATGAATTTTTCCAGCAAATCGTATGCGAGCCTCTGTGCTTCTGTATTAGCATAACTCAAAAGTTGATAACTGCTGGTAATGCCCAAAAGGTAACCGAGTGTTGGAAAACTTGGTATTTCATCCAGCTCACTTAAGAGTCAGTGGACAAAGGTTTCTGTACGGGTTGTAGCAAGCATTCTTGTCATGGTCAGCGGCGGAGGTTAGTTATGGTGCTTTTAGGGGTACGTCTATACTTATGGTACCCACTGTATAATGTAATATAATATAATATAATATAATATAATATAATATAATAT